GGCTCAGGCAATCTACTCACCTCAGCCTCCCAAAGACACGGGATTACAGGCTGAGCCACCAAGCCCGGCTATTTTTTTTATTTATTGTAGAGACAAGTTCTCGCCATGTTGCCCAGGCTGGTCTCGAACCCCTGAGCTCAGGCAATCCTCTTGCCTCCCCCTCTCAAAGTGCTGGGATTACAGGTGTGAGTCACCACGCCTGGCTTGAGTAAGTTTTCATAAGAGGACTTTCCGGTCATTCCTGCAAACTGCCTCCCCTGGACGGCACGTCCAAGTGTGACTGTGACTGAGACTCCAAATGTGTGTGGGCTGGCCTATGGGAACGCCACTGGTCTCACCCTGAGACCTCAGCTCCTGTCCTTGTTTCCCGGGATCCCTGACCCGGCATCTTTCCTTACCTGTGAGTCCCGTCTCTGCAGCACCTGGGCTTAGGCAGAAAGACCCGCGGGTCTGTGTGAGCCAAGCGCAGTGCGAGAGTCAAGCTAGTCTCGAACTCTCAACAAGACAGTGACAGTCTCACGAGACAGTGGCGGGTGGAGTGACTCAGTCTGATCCCAGACCTCAGAACAATCTCCGAGGAGGCCATGCAGGGAGAGGCTGCAGCTGTTAGAACTTCAGCCAGGGCTCACCTGACCCCTCAGGAAACCTAATCAACAAGCATTGATTGAATCCCTGCTGGAAGTGCTTACAAGGCACTGAGCTAAGTACTTTCAAGAACTTTGATCTCAAAGGCAGTAGCGCCTCGGCCATAGGGGTGGAAGGAAAGGCTTTTCCCATGAACCACCAGGAAGAAAATCTGAGAGCGACTCAGAGATGGGCTCTAAGGGCATGATGTCTGTGGCAAAGGGGCGACTAGATTTCAGCTCTCCTAATGTCCGAGGTCGCCCCCCCACTAGGTGCCCAGTCCCCAAGAGACAGCGTGGTTTATTATCGTGAATTTTAAATGAGAGCAGCACACCTCCTGTTTACCTGCCACACCTGTCGACCAGCGGGCCAACGACCAATGACCCCAAGAGGCCACCCAGAGGAAACATGGACACGGTGCAAGACCACAGGAGCAGCATGGCCTTCTCGTCCATGAATGTCGCATGTCGCTCAAAGTAGGTTTCATTGTAAAATGACTTCAAGACCTGGAAAACAGTGCCCCAAACCACAGCCAAGAATATTGTGCCACTCATGAGAAATGATGATATGAGTGTTCTAGTGGCCACCCGTGCACAGAGGAATGTTTCTGCTAATATATCCTTGGGACATAATTGAGCCTGCCCATTCTCTGCTGTCATCTCAGACTAAACACCTAGTGTATGTGCCGAGTGTGATGGCTCATGCCTGTAATCCCAGCACTTTGGGAGGCCAAAGCGGAAGGATCGTTTGAGCACAGGCATTGGAGACCAGCCTGAGCAACAAAGTGAGCCCTCATCTCTACAAAAAAGTTGTTAACAAGTAGTTGGGCATGGTGGTGCATGTCTGTAGTCCCAGCTACTTGGGAGGCTGAGACAGGAGGATCACTTAAGTCCGGAGGTCAAGGCTGCAGTGAGCTGGATCGTACTACTACACTCCAACCTGGGCGACAGAGTGAGACCTTGACTCAAAACAAAAAACAAACCAACAAACCAAATCTTTTTTTTTTTTGGTTGAAGTCTCACTCTGTCGTCCAGGCTGGAGTGCTATAGCACATTCACGGCTACCCCAGCGTCGACCTGCTGGGCGCCGGCAATCCTTCCATCTCATCCTTCCAAGGAGCCGAAACTACAGGCGTGCGCTACCATGCCCGGCTAATTTTTGATTTACTGTAGAGAAGAGGTCTTGCCAAGTTGCCCAGGTGGGTCTTGAAACCGCGGGCTCAGGCGATCCACTCACCTCGGCCTCCCAAAGTGCTGGGATTAAAGACTGAGCCACCCAGCCCGGCCCTAACAAAATCTTGTATGAAGCATTGAGATGAGGAGGCAGGCAGAACAGAAACATTGTTTTAGATTCATTGATTAGGATTTACTTTGTAGAGTCTTTCTCTGCTCCAGGCAACATGGGAAGCATTCTTACTAATTGTGTGGCTTCAGGCAGGTTAATAGCCTCTGTAAGCCTTAATTTTCTCGTCAGTTATAGACGTTAAATGTGTGTCAGAAAGAATTTGTGAGCATTAAGTGTCATGAAGTAGTGTTACATTGCTTGACTCAGAAGAGATGTTCCATCAGTGGTAAGAGTTGTAAGTACACTGATACATGTCATGCATATATGAAACACGTACAGACATATATGTATACATGTTTATAAGCATATTAATACATGCCATGAGCAACTACTACAGTACCCCCAGAAAGCAGTAGCTATGAATTAATGACACTCATTAAAAAAATACAGCAGATAGGCAGGGTTTAAGTGTATGAACCGCTTCTTAATTTAGAATTAAATGAATAATTAAATACAGCAGAACTCACATACTCAAACCAATGGCAATTCTGCCCACTCTCCCCAAATGCTGGGGTCCGTCCCGCCCCATGAGGGAAATCCTCCCTGCAGGGGTCCCTTGTCTGTCCTGCATCGCGGGTCTTTCCCTCTCACAGCATCATCTCCGTCACTCCCACAAACATGGCTCCGCCCTGTGGAAACCCAACTTGACCCCATCTCCCTCCACTAAGTTTTGTCGCTGGCTCCTACGCGGAAGGGCCCTTCAAAGTGTTGTCTGTCCTTGTCCTCTCTGCCTCATCCCACCCATTCTCTTCGAAACCATGCTGGTAGAGCCTCTGTCAAGGTCACTCGTGTCCTTGTCAAGGTCACTTGGCAATTACACCCTTGTCAAGGTCAGTTACTGCCCTTGTCAAGGTCACCCATGCCCTCCCCCACGTCAGAGCCCACAGTCAGTTCTCTGTTCCCATCTGAACTCATCCTCACAGGCTGTCCGTCCTTCTTGCCTCTCACCTTTTACAAGGTTTTGGGAATGCTCTGCCTTCAGGTGGGGGCATCTTCCCCATCTGACAAGGGCCCCCGCTTTCTTTCCTTTGCTCCCCTCACCCCAATCTCAATCCCCAAATGCCACAGAGTTCCATCTTTGACTCCACTCTCTTTGCTATCAATGAGGGGCTTTCCCAGGGCGAGGGCAGTGGGACTGAAGCCCAAGGAGACTGGGCAGGGGGTTCAGGCGTTCCCGTTGTCCCAGTGTGCCTGGAAAGGGTGATAATCCCAGGAGAAACACCTCTAGCCATGCCCTGGTCTCCTGAGCCTGGGGTCCAGGGGACCAGGGGAAGATGGCGGCTCCAAAGGCAAGATGTCGGCCTCTATGGAGGAAGAGGAAGGCTGCCTCCCACCCAGGCTCTGCTCAGCCCCCGCCAGCCCACCTTGTGTGGTGTGTTGACCACAGCAATGTTGTAGCCATACTGGAAGGCTGATCCAAAGGCTGCACTCAGGGTGGCCAGGACCAGGGTAGGCTGGAGCCGCTGGGAGAGATGAATTCAAGGTCAGGCGGCTATGGACTTGTGTCTGGGGACCTCCACCTCCCTCTACCTCCTTCCACCTGCTTCCATCTCCCTCTACCTGTCTCCTCCTCCCTCCACCTGCCTCCCCTCCCCCTTGGACTGGAAGAGGGTGGCAGAAGGGGGAAGCGTGAGTAGGGGAGCTTAAGCCATGCCCAGAGGAGGAGGAGGCGGTGAGGTGACCCAAGACTGCAGACTCTGAGGCAACTGGGGTTTGGGTGGCATTGTTCCTGTTTCTTGGCAGGCATTCATTCCCCCCAAAGACATATTCGAGCATCTCCTATATGCCAGGCCCTGTGTTAGGCCATGGAAGTGAAGTATGAAGTATGAAGTAGGGGATGCTTTAGGGAGAAGGCCCAGCAGTACGCTTTTCTTGTGAAGGAAAGGACCTTCCCCCAAAAAGATAAATATGATAACTTGCAACAGCTGGAATGCTGTGAGGTTAATACAACAGGGTGACGGATGGAGTGGAAGATAATGGGTGATGAGAGGCCTTATTCAGTAGGGTGGGTGGGTGAGGGGAAGCTCTCTGAGGAGGTGCCCTTTGAGTCAAAACCTGAGTGGATGGGATGGAGCAGTCATGTGGGTGTCTGGGGAAAGAACATTCTAGACAGAGGGACCCTCTGGCGTATCCTTGGCTCTAGGACAGGCTCTTGGGAAAAACAAGGCAACCCCCTGAGCTCAGCAGGGCTTTCCACAACACCCTGGGCAGCTCAGAGAACAGGCCAAAGTCTGAGGAGGGGGTGGGGCAGGGTGGGTGGCTGCCTCTCAGAGCAGAGAAACCAGTTTGTCCTGATCTGAGGCCCTGGGCCATCCCCCATCGCCCCCCTCTCCCCTCTGTACCCTCACCCCACCTCGGCCGGGCTGCCCACAGCCCTTACCAGGTGGCCCGAGAAGGGCAGGATTTAGGCATTCTTGAGAGGCCATCTCCCCTTTACACTCAAGGGTGGGGGAACTGCAGAGGGTAGGGGATAGGGGACTTCAGTGTCATCTACTCTCCTGGCATTTACTAAGTCAATAGCTCTGAGTCTGAGCCTGAGGTCAGGTGTGGGGACAGCTGCTTCCCCACCCTGCTCTCCCAGGGCTGGCAACCCCTAGGGAAGGTGGGGCAGGCTGCACCTTCCTTGCCAGAAGCATTTTAGGGACTTTCTCCTTTTTTTTTGAGTTGGAGTCTCACTCTGTCGCCCAGACTGGAGTGCAGTGGCCGCTCCCGGCCACCGCAGCCTTGACCTGCTGGGCTCCGGTGATCCTTCAGCCTCAGCCTTCCAAGTAACTGGAACTACAGGCGCGTGCTACCACACCTGGCTAATTTTTTGGATTTATTGTAGAGATGAGGTCTCGCCAAGTTGCCCAGGCAGGTCTCGAACCTGCGGACTCAGGCAATCCACTCACCTCAGCCTCCCAAGGTGCAGGATTACAGGCTGAGCCACTGAGCCCGGCTTCTCCTTCTTCTACAAGTAAGGGACAGGGACAGTGACAGTTGCCTAGACTAGGCACTTACCCACTCCCTGCGTGGGGTGGTCGGGAGTGTTCCCACCTCCTTGTTCTCCATTCTTGTTCACGTCCACTCTACCTCCCAAGTGGCGCCTGAGTCTTGCTCTGCCCTGGACCCATGGCTTCCCCCCGGGCCTGCCTGGCTTTATGACCCTTTTGCCCTCTGGACCCTGCCGACTTTCCCCAGGAGCAAATTCTCCTTGGACATGTTGATAAGATACACGCTGGTGTCATGCCAGTGCACAAGTCACACACAGCAGGCACTTCGCCTTGGCGTGCACCAGGCCCCAAGCCAGAAGCTCCCTAGTTGCACCCAGAAGGGAACAAAGATGGGATGACATTGGCCCCCAGAAATGAGACGTTTCAGAAGCCCAGCCAGGCTGTGACCTGGACCTAGAGTGTTTCTACATCCACACCTCCTCTTCTGCATTTGGACCAACTATCCATTTGAGGGGAAGTGCAAACTGGATTGCTTTTAAAGAAATGCAATTTTAGCTGGGCATGGTGACTCAAACCTGTAATCCCAGCACTTTGGGAGGTGGAGGCGAGAGAATTGCCTGAGACCAGGGCTTTGAGACCAGCCTGGGCAACTTGACAAGACATTGTCTGTACAATAAATCAAAAAATTAGCTGGGTGTGGTGGCGCACGTCTGTGTTTCCAGCTACTTGGAAGGCTGAGGCAGAAGGTTGAGGCTGTGGTGGCCATGAGAAAAAAGAAATGCAATTTTGTGATTTCTAGTCACACTTATTAGTGTTAAATAAGTCGATAAAATATTGAACAAAGATGCTCATTTCAGAATCCCCTATTCACTTAAAAGAAAGCAGGGAATGGCCCGGCTCGGTGGCTCAGCTTGTAATCCCAGCACTTTGGGAGGCCGAGGCAAGAGGATTGCCTGAGCCCGCGGGTTCGAGACCCGCCCGGACAGCTTGGCGAGCCCTTGTCTCTACAATAAATCAAAAACTAGCCGGGCATGGTAGCGCGCGCCTGTAGTTCCAGCTACTTGGAAGGCTGAGGCGGAAGGATGGCCGGAGCCCAGCAGGTCGAGGCTGCGGTGGCTGGGAGCGGCCACTGCACTCCAGTCTGGGCGACAGAGTGAGACTCCAACTCAGAAAAAAAAAGCAGGGAATGACTGAATAAATTATGACAGGTTGACTGGATGGAATAGCAGGCTACTGTTTCAAAGGACAATTATGAATATTATGCAGGAAAGTCAAAACATGAATATAGTTTTCATGAACATGAACTCTATGTGACGTGACCAAAGCAGAATACCCTTCATATATGGGGGACACGTGCTCGCCCACAGATGGTGGCAGGAGGGGCATGGCAGCCAGAGAGAACGTGAGGTCCTGTGTTCCCCCCCGCCCCCCGTCTGCCCTGCCATAAGGTATTCGCTCAGGGAATATGTGTCTGCTCCACGGTGCTCCTCACTCTTCCGAGTGTTCCCAGCAGAGTCATTAACATCCATTTTTCTTTTCTGAGTTGGAGTCTCACTCTATTGCCCAGGCTGGAGTGAAGTGACACACTCACAGCCACCGCAGCTTCGACCTGCTGGGTTCAGGCAATCCTTTCAACCTCAGCCTTCCAAGTAGCTGGATCCACAGGCCTGCACCACTGTGCCCAGCTAATTTTTTGATTTATTGTAGACATGAAGTCTCGTCATATTGCTCAGGCTGGTCTCGAACTCTGGGCTCAGACAATTCTCCCACTCAGCCTCCCAAATACTGGGATTATAGGCGTGAGTCACCGCGCCCAGCCTAACATCCATTTTTCTAACAACAGTCTGTACAAGGTAATCTAGGCTTTTTGTAGCATGCCTCTTGAAATCCTTCCAGCCTCTTCCTATCATCTGATGCTGAAGTCACTTCCATAGGTTTGTGTTGTTGTTGTTGTTTGAGTCAGGGTCTCACTTTATCACCCAGGATGGAGTGCAGTGGCAGGCTCATAGTCACTGCAGCCGCAACTTACTGGGCTAAGGCAATCCTTCGGCCTCAGCCTTCTAAGTAGCTGGAACTGCAGGCATGCGCCACCATGCCCAGCTAATTTTTTGATTTATTGTGAAGACGAAGTCTCACCATGTTGCCCAGGCTAATTGCAAACCTCAGGCAATCCTCTTTCCTTGGCCTCCCAGAGTGCTGGGATTGCAGGCGTGAGCCACTGTGTCTGGCCCACTTTCATAGGTTTTTGCGTGTGCAGGTGTTATAGCAGCACTCCACTTCCTGGTACCAAAATCTCTATCAGGTTTCCATGGCTGCTATAACAAATGACCACATGATTTTATAATCTTGGGGTTCTATATGTCATAAGTCTGACACAGGTCTTGTTGGGCTAGCACCAAGGCCTCTGCCACGTTTGGGTCCAGCAGGAAGACCCTCTCCAGATGCAGCCCCTCGACCTTGGACTTCTCAGCCTCCAGAACCATCAGCCAAATAAACTCCTATGGTTCTCAAATTGCCCAGGCTGTGGTACTCCATTATATCACCATAAACAGGACAAAGACACCTGTCAAGCACAGGGTCCCTGGCCGGATTTTCCCAGGTGACTCTGGTGACCCACTTTGCTTTCGGGGCTGCAAGGAGGCAAAAGGCATGTGTGGTGTTTATCTCTCTGGGGGGTACACTGCAAATTCTGGAAGACAGAAGGTGCCACGTATGTGTCACTTCCACATCCCAGTGCTGAGCAAATGTAGGTCGACAAGAGCAACCCTCAACAAGCACTCAGTGCCCTGGCTGAGGAGTGGCAGGAGGGGAAGGAGAAAAGGCTCTTGGGTGAGAACTAAGTCTCACTTTTTTGTTATTTCTGTCGTCGTCTCACTTTGTCGCCCAGGCTGGAGTGCAGTGGCACGCTCATGACCAGCGCAGCCTCGACCTGCTGGTCTCAGGCGATCCTTCCACCTCAGCCTTCCAAGTAGCTGAAACTACAGATGCTCCACCATGCCCGGCTAATTTTTTAATTTATTGTAGAGACAAGGTCTCGCCATGTTGCTCAGGCTGGTCTCGAACTCCTGGGCTCAGGTAATCCTCTGTCCTCCTCCCCCCAAAGTACTGGGATTACAGGCATGAGCCACCGCACCCAACAAATCTCACATTTTTTAAAATTAGAAAATATAGTTTATTTAGAAAGTAAATTAGAGAGAGAAAGAGGAGATTATCTCCCCAGGGTAGGGGAGGGGGCTAAATCTCACATGTTTTATGATGAACTTTGTTTACGTAAGGGTGTCAGGATGCCAGCGATGTGCCTCGCATTCTTCTCCAGGAACTGAGGAACAGCTTGAGGATGAAAGTTAAATGAAAGACTCTGCATTGCTCACATTCCAGCCTGGAACCTGAGCTCTTATTCCACAGCCTCTTGGTACCCTGAAGCCTCTTGATGTTTCTGTCTGGGTGGTTAAGCCACACCAGGATGCAGGACAATGGAGTGAGGTTTTTTGTTGTTGTTGTTGTTGCTTTTTTGAGTTGGAGTTTCACTCTGTCTCCCAGACTGGAGTGCAGTGGTGGCTCCCGGCCACCGCAGCCTCGACCTGCTGGGCTCCGGCAATCCTTCCACCTCAGCCTT